CCACTGATGGCAGATGGACTATTCTGACGATGTCTTTCATACTTTTCTGGACCTTGACAGTGTAATTTACTTGGCAGTCAATGGGACAGTCACAAGCCTCCCGGTTTTCATCCAAAATATCTTAAATTGTGTTCCGAAGACGAATGAAGCTTTTATGGGTTTGGAACAACATGGGGGTAAGTGATTAATGACTAAATAATCATTTTGGGGTGGAGTAACCCTTTAAGCTATCGTATGGCTTCAGAAGTAACACAGAATAATACGCACAATCTCGGATTTGGATCGGCCCTCTCTGACAGATACCCGATCTGATAAAAAATGGCAGTATCGGAGCCGATACCCGATATGAATATCGGATCGGCGCATCCCTAGTTTCCACGTCGTCAAAGATGGTTCAGAAGAACTTGAGGGTTAACAAATGATGACAGAATTTTCATTTTTAAGTGGAGTATCTCTTTAAGAATGGCTTACTTATAGTTGTTTCTGCATATTAAACAAACTATAGTGTTGACAACCCCAATTCTTTTAGCACTGAATAAATAAAAAGTCTGTGAAGTACACAAATGCACATAAATATAATGATCCAGGTTAAAAAGCTATCTACTATATAGCTCATAAAAACAAATCTAAGGGGAAAATAACACTTTCAAGCCTTAAAGGTAATGGTTGTTGTATCCATAATTAAATAGCAGTTAATAGGTTATTAAGGCATAGTGAGAAAGCCATGTTTGATCTGAAATTGAATTTTATTCCTGTCTGAGAGCACAAGCAGATTCGGGCACTCAGCATGGAACATTTTCTTGCTTTCATCTTTTCTCCTTTTTATTTTTGAAAGCTGAAGTATAACTGGATCAGTCACCTCCAGCCCCATCTCAAAGTTGTGTTTTGTCCAGACAAAAGACAGAGAGAAAGAAAGAGGAATAACATGAGTGTTTCACACTGAACCAACAGTGCCCTCATCTGGAATGAGGAAGTATGTCGGGGGTGAATCAAAAGAATAGAAATCCAAGAATATTCAAGTCCAGAATGATGTCTGTCCCTACAAACATAGCATGTCTCAACAGCACAAAAACAATGAAGTGTTAGACCACCATCATAATTTCTAGTTTCAAAGTCATATTTTCAAAGGCAGTCATATGGCCAATATTTATTCGATGATTAAAACAGCCTCACATCTGCACCAAACCACAAGACAACAGAGCTGTAGTCAAGGCAAATTACCTCAATGATGCCATCTGTCCAAATCCTCAAAGACCTAAATGCTTTAGATGGAGCTCAAATACACAAAAAGTGTAAAGGAATAGTTCACTCAAAAATTTAAAAAGTTATTGCATATACTTAAAACGATGATGATTCTATCACTACTTATTCACCTACATGTCGTTCCAAAACCACGTCCACTGTGGCATCTTCATCCTGCTCTTATGCATACAACAGCAAAGTTCATAGTGACCACAGGCTGTCAAACTCCAACAAACATTATATGGCTTCTGAATATAATTATATTTTTAAATAATTTTTCTATTTTAATATTTTTTTTTAAAGTTGCATTTTCAGCAGCCGTTCCTCCAGTCTTCAGTGTCACACACAAGGAATCTAATATGCTGTTATGCTGCTCAAGGAACATTTCTTCTTATTATCAATGTTGGAAACAGTTGTGCTGCTTAATATGCTTGCGGAAACCATGATACTTTTTTCAGGAATCTTTAAGGAATAGAGAGTTTAAAAACAGCATTTATATGAAACAGAGATGTTTTGTTACAATGTAAAAGTCTTTACTGTCACTTTTGATCAATTGCATTTTTGCAATGCATTTTGCTGATTATTAAAATAATTATTTCAAATAAAAACAAATCTTACTGATATTTAACTTTTCAACACTTTTTAGAGCTTGGCTGTTATATTGAAAGAGCAGTGTGAACATGCAAGTCTTCAAATTGTGCTCCATGGAAAAACAGCATGGAGGTTTGAAACAACACAAGGTGCATAAATGAGTATGAAATTACAGAATTACCATTACCATTTTTGGATGAACTATCCCTTTAAATTGGTATGAAATTTGTTCCTGTAAAGGTGAAACCTTCAAAAATAAAATTAAAAAGACCAAAGGAAGATCTCTGGACAATAAAAGGGTCTATGAACTCACCAACGGTCATGGATTCTGGAAGGCCAGGGGTCGGCAGAACACTGGTCACAGGCGCAATCTGCGCTGACAAGTCAGGCTCCATGCTGAGACACCAAAAGTTAATACAATAAGCATCAGTCTTTAAAGAATAAATTTTAAACTAAAATCTTACAAAAATGTGTTCTTTTGTATCAGATACCTAAACTGGAGTTGGCTTCGTTTTTCACTGTCAGTTGGTGGGCTTGAGCTCTCCTTCTGTCCATAAAATTCGACATTCTCAACTGAATGACCAGCTGGAAGCGCAAAAATAGCATATTTCTTCATGCCAGGACCGTAGTTACACATAACACTTATTTAAGTAATGCTATATTTAAGTTAATTTTGAGCAGAGACATAAAAATGAATGCCACGTCTATGTGGACAAGACCATGAAAACATAGCAAGATGTCCCTGAATGCAGACAGGCTGTGGGTCTGACCTTGTTGTGTGTAGGGCTCGCTGGGGGCCAGAGGTATGAGAATGTGTGAGTTGTTATTGTCATTGTCATTATCAGTGATGATTTGCTTTGGACTCCATGTGGAAACACTGGATAAACTCCCAACAACCATCCTATGCAGAGCAGAATGTTATGGTCACACTTTACATTAATGTCTGTTTGTTACAATGTAATTCCACAAGTAAGTTCTAAGTAATATTAATTGACAGCATGTACTTACTACAGAGTTTGGTATGTTAGTTGCTTGTAATTATGCATAAGTTACTAATACAATAAATAAAATAATATCATTCAAAAGTTTGAGGTATGTAAGATTCTGTTTTGTATTTTTGACAGAAGTCTCTTAAGCTCACCCAGGCTGCATTTATTTAATCACAAATACAGTAAAACAGTAATATTGTGAAATACTACTACAATACAATAACTATTTAAAACAACTGTTCTATTTAAATGTATTTTAAAATCATTTATTCCTGTGAAGGCAAAGCTGAGTTTTTAGCAGCCAATTACTTTAGTTTTCAGTGTCACAAGATCCTTCAGAAATCATTCTAATATGCTGATATGGTGAAAACGGTGGAAAACAGTTGTGCTATTGAATATTTTTGTGGAAACCATGATACATTTTTATTCAGAATTCTCTAATGAAAAGACAGGTCAAAAGAACAGCTTTTATTTGAAATAGAATTTCCGTGTAACTTTGTCTTTACTGTAATTTTTGATCTTTTTTTTTTTATTGTACTGACCCCAAACTTTTGATTAGTGTACATGTGAAGTGTAACAAGGACTCATTGAATTAAGAGTTATTATAAAATGAATGGTTTGTTAATATAGCTATTTGTAATTGTTAATTTAATTCACTTCAATTCAAGTCTCACTACATCCTGGTGTTGATTACTGCAACAATTAAAGCAAGACTTCTAGTAAACTCACGGCTCCCCATTCCCATGATCCTCTTCTGAGGGCTCAGGCCTGCTCTTTCCATAAATATCGTCCTCTTCCTCCTCCTCATTGTCAATGCTCTTGGTATCAGGCAGCACTCCGTTCTGCGGGGGTGTTTCAGCCCAGCTCACGATCCCAGGCTCAGTCGGGCCGTTATGAATGGGAGAGGTAGAGTCCGGAGGTTCCAGAGCCTCTTCAGAACTCACATGACCCACTGTACTCTTCCTAAGACTCCTCACAAAGTCCTCACCAGCCTCGTCCTCATCTTCCATACCCACGTCATCATCAAAAGAGATAATGTTCGTGATCTTCTTTTTACGTCTGCGCTCTTTTCTTAAACCAGAATCTAAAATGCAAGTAAAGGAATAATACGAGGGAGACTAAATAATCCCCCGTGAATCTCAATCATCAATAGCAACACTACAATAATATTTATTAGTAGTAAAAAGGAGGAAAAAATGCCTCAATGAGAAATAAAACACATTTTCAGAAAAAATTTGCAAAAATTTTACTTTTAGGGGTACAACAACCTGTCAGTGGGACAGTGCCGTTAAAGGGACATCTTTGTATCGTACCTTATTTACACCTAAAAGGTTCATAGTCAAGCTTAAAGGGTTATTTCCCCCCAAAATGAAAATTCTGTCATTAATTACTCACCCTCATGTCGTTCCAAACCCATAAGACCTTCATTCATCTTCGGAACACAAATTAAGATATTTTTGATGAAATGTGAGAGCTCTCAGGCTCTGCATAGACAGCAATGCAACTGTAATGTTCCCAGGTCCAGAAACGTAGTAAGGACATCGGTAAAACTGTCCATGTGACATCAGTGGCTCAACTTCAGTTTTGCAAAGCTACGAGAATACTTTTTGAGCGCAAAGAAAACAAAAATAACAATTTATTGAACAATTCTTCTCCCCCGAGTTACGTCTTCCGCCATTTTGGAGAGTACCCAAGAGCGTAATCAACGTAATCAGCGTTTTTTTACATTCGGGGAGAAAGCGTGTGCATGAACATAATCTGCGTAATCAGCATTGTTTATGCTTAGGGGAATGCGTGCGTATGCAATGTGATACTCTCTAATTGTGCATTCACACCGCCGCCATCGAGAGCGTCAAAAATCGCTCTGGCCTCCCTGCCAACAACGCTGTAGAAAGATTCGTGGATGCTCTGATGTAGATCGAATGCTTATCTTGTATTTAAAGGGGACGCAAAGCAAACACGCTTGTTGATCTTGTGCAGACTGACCACAAGAAAGGTAACGTTAAGTTAACCTCATTAAATATTGTTGTGGACGAAGTATTAAGATCCTTTACCTCATAATGTAAAAAGCACTAATACCACACTGTAAAAATACACTGATACAAGTAAAAGTCCTGCATTGAAAATGTAAGTATCAGGTATAAACATTACTTAATGTAAGTATAATCAGGAAAATTGATTTAAAGGTTTAAAAGTGAACTGGGACTATTATACTATTATTTATTATATCATTAGATTATTATTCCTATAACGTTAATGCACATCAGCAAACTCACCAGGAACACCAACAATCTCAGACACCTTGGTCCCCACACCTTTTTTTTTATGTCCCTGTACGCAAACAGGGACACGTCATAGATTATTTGGAAACCCGCCACAGCAATAATCAACCTCTCCTCCATTTTGCTTGGGAACTAATGTGGTCGGAACCAAAGTTTACAGGACTGCGTTCTCTGGAATCCTCTCAAGCGGTGGACTTCTACGTTCTGATTGGTTGCCGCTGAACAGCGTCATAGCTCATTACCATAATGTTGACCTGATTTCAACTCTCCTCAACGCCCTCAATGTCCAAGTCTCGCCGCTATATTGTATAAAGTGCTAAATAAATAAACATGACATGAGTGCCAAATTGCAGAGCTCATGATGCAAACATATCCACATCGTTTTGATCAGATGCTTTCTTAACTGCTCTTTTCTCACTGTTGTCATTTGTGTTTATTTTGTTATTGAGGAAAGCATGCAGCACATATTTACATATTCATCTTAACACCGCTCTCAGCAGTGTGGGTGACGCTGGGATGTTCAGAAACAGTATACCGCTGCTCAGGTATTTCAGCTATAACTTCTTTTTACCCCTTAGCATAGAACGAAAAAGAATGTTGCTGTAAGTATATCAGGGCCTTAAGGGTACATATTACTACTCTACAGTACAAATATGCAACTTTCAGGCGTAGATAAGGTACAAAGTTGTCCCTTCAGGGGTTACTGCCAAAGTGAAAAGTTGTTGTACCACTAAAAGTACAATGTCTGCACATATTTCTGACAGTGCATGTGGAATTCTATTATGGTATGTGACTCAAGCACCTGCAGAAGTGCTGCGGGGCAGGACGGGCAGCGGGTCTGATGAAGCATCCAAGCGAGGGATAAAACCAGGAACCACCGCAGTGGCAGTACCAATTTCCCGCAGAAGGGTGCTGACACCTTGAGTAGACTCTTTCCACAAACTGCTCATGCCCTGTGTGGACTCCTTAAGCAGGTGGGACACAGACGACCCCCCGCGGGCCTGGCCATTTAGGTCTGTGTTGTCGATGTTGATGGCAAACAGTATGGAATTGAGCCCTGTTGTCACATAAACTGAATTTAGACTTCCACAGGAAAGGACGCCCAACTACATATGACTCCTAGACAGCATCTGGCAAATAACTCATTTAAATATTACCTGCAGCCATGGTGGGCAGCATACTGGCTCTCTCCTCATCCAGGACAAAAGCCCAGTCTTCATAGAAGGCACTAAATATGGGGTAGATTAAAGAATTTACCAAAGAACCATTAAAGAACTTTGAATAATTTAAAAGAGTATTACGGATATGTAGAGAAAAACAAAAAGGAAGGTAAAAGAAGACATCCACAACAGTGAATCATGAATCCATGTACCTAAGGCGGGCATGGTCTGCCAAAAGCATGTGAAGATAGCGCTCTAGCGAGTGTTCGTTCAGGGCACAACGAAGCCATGCCCGGCCCCGGCCCTGCTCAGATGTGATATTCCGCAGAGAGTAGAAGCGCTGCAACTCATGACGGTTGAGGTGCTCCTTCACATAAAACCAGAACGTCAGCTCTGCAACACACAATAGATGCCTGTATGAACCGCCACGTTAATGTTCTCAGTTCCTCATAATAGAAAATACAGAAAGGCAGAGAATATTACAGAGGTTATATAAGATTATTTGAAACGTAAGTATTTAGTTCTGTATTTACATCCCTTTGGATATTTTGGATTTTTTAATCTGTTGCTGGTTTCTGCCCAAGTTTGGATCAAAACAACAGAGCATTTTACTTGGTCAGCTGTCTGTGTGTAACACTTTTTCAAATGGCTCACTTAAGGCTCAGAAGGTGATACTTGCCTGGGCTCTGTGACATTAAGATATTACAGGATACAGGGTGGTGCAGCCTCATAGTTAAAGATCTGGGCTGGAAACCAAAAGGTTGTGGGTTCAGATGTGACCACTTTCACAAAAATGTTCTCTTATGCTCACCAAGGCTTTTATTTGATCAAAAATACAGTAAAAAAAAAAAAAAACTAAGTAATACTGTGAATATTATTACAATTTAAAATTACTGTTTTCTATTTCATACATTTTTAAATATTATTTACTCCTGTGATGGCAAAGCTGAATTTTCAGCAGCGATTACTCCAGTCACGGAGTGAATAAAACTCTTTTTATTACTATCAATGTTGAAAACCGAAAATAAACAGCATTTATTTAAAACAGAAATCTTTTGCAACATTATAAATGGATTTATTGTCACTTTTGATCAATTCAATGCATCCTTAATAAAAGTAATAATTTAATTTTTATTTTAAAAAGCTAAAAGTACTCAGCACTGATTCATAGTATCACTTTTAGTTCTGCTGTTAATTTTAAACAGCTCAAAACCACAACAGGTGCAAAGACTAACCTCAGAAAAACCTTGTTTCTCTTTTTTGCCATTTTTACAAGGCTTGTTGCATAACCATCTGGTTTCATAAACAGTATCAGCACCTGGTTTTCCTGTATGAGCACTTATGAGCATCTGTTTCCTCTATGGACAACCCAGAACACCACATGTGTTCTTTGTTACTAGGGAAATCTCTCTGGCAATGTCTCTCAGGGGTACCAACTAAGACAAACTCATTAAGTAGGGCAAAGAGTTCAGTGAGTAAACACTTTGAAAAACACTTTTCAGCATGTGCTTTCAGAAAATCGATTAACACGGCTGGCTAAAAAAATGGGGGAAAAAATGATAGAAAGTAAGGTCTGGATGTCCATTATTTGATGGAATCAGTTACAGTACCTGCTTCAGTTTTACTAGTAAATCCAGCAGCATGTTTAATGGCAGCTGCTGTGAGGGCTAAACCGCGACTTTTCCTCAAGCCGTGTTGAAGTACTGCTTCAAACTGGGCACATAGGCATATGACTCTGTGACAGCAAAATAGGAAAGAATTACCAATTAATTAAAGCGCACAAATTTGGCATAGTCTTATCAAACCATTTTCAGCTTTATAAAATAAATAGGCAATATTTTTATGGCACCTGCTATCAGAATCTGAGGCAATCTCCTTTCTGCCACCAAAGCGAATTTGGCACTGAGGAGAAAATAATAGATTAGAAAAAGGAATGTTCAGTCCTTAACTAACATTATTTTATTTCAAAATTCCAATTATTCAAACCGTTGGAAATGTCATCATTTTCTTTAAATGTTTTATATGCATTAAATATCTTCCTTACAGACCCCTGCAGCACCTTCACGGGAACCTGGATAAATATTAATATTTAATAACCCGATCTACCAACTCACTTACTAAATAAAACAACTGGTAAATGGGAGAAACATAAACACGTTTTCTGCACTCAAAATAAAATGGAATGGCGCAAAAGGGAATTATGTTGCAGTGTTTGTTCATAAAAAAGCATTCTGACATTTTATTATCCATACTTTAAAACAAATATATGTTTATCAACAGAATTTATCATTCTTTCTATGTCAGGATATTGACTGATTAACTGGCAGATATTTGGACAATATTATAACACAAGTATGTGTAAAAAATAAATGTTCACTTCTGCCTTAAATGATCTGTGATAGTATAATATCATATGATATCATAATCAGAATTGGCCACTGAAAAACCTATAAACCACTTCTTTTCTTGTTCTAAGCCACCATTGTCAAAGAGCAGAGGTGCAAAGTGTTTGAGTAAATGTAATTAATTACTGTACTTGAGTATATTTTTGAATATTCTGTCGTTTTACTCAGTAAAAAAGATATCAGCAACTTTTACTCTCTACTTCACTACATTTTCTACAAAGCATCTGTACTCTTTACTCCACAACCCTCAACGGACACCTTGGCAATTGAATTGCCATTGGCTAGTACATTTTTTTGTTTACTCGCCAGACTGAAATACTATACATATATATATATATATATATATACAGTGGGTACGGAAAGTATTCAGACCCCCTTACATTTCACATGTATCACATCAATTCTGCATGTTATGCTCGCTCTCGCTCTTTGCGCGTGTGAGAGAAAGCGATGGCGAGTTGTGCGTCTTCACACTAGAGTTTACGTTACGCCAAATACACAAACACAGGTGCGCTGCGCATCCATTCAAATGAACTGAAAAATATCACAGATCGCTTGACGGAGAGTGAAACTCTGAAGTGCTCAGTCAGAGTGTTCTGTGAGTGAAAATATATCTGTGCTAATCATACTTGGCCTCCAACTTACACACTGGCGAGTAAAATCTGAGAATTTATTAGCCATTGGCTAATATTAGACGCCCAGAGTGAAGATTTAGTCGCATATGCGAGTGATTTACTCTCAATGTAGAGAGTTGACTCCACTACATTTGTAATGTGATTACATTACATTTTGCATGGCACCTAGTTTTTTATGCAGCAGTTTATATCTGCTACAAAAGAAGTGATATCGCCAACTACAGGGCAATGAAAGTACTATATATTGTGCATTTTTGCCCTTACACACCCAAACCTGCCAACAATTATGTGAATGTGAGTTCCTTAGCAATGACAATGAGGCCGAAAACCAACTCATCCAGTGCAAGAAGTCTTATTTTTGTAAAAGTACAATAAACAAATTAAGCAAAAAAAAAAACTACTTAACATTATTTTATTTATCCGTTATACCGAAGAGACCTTTTGGAAGGATATTGTTTTTTGCCATTTTTGAGGTGTTCCGTTTTATTCTGGTTTTAGAAAATAAACGTGATTGCTCTTCTCAGAAATCGAACCTGCCAACAAGGCTACTTTATGTGAATGTGAGTTCCTTAGCAATGACAATGAGGCCGAAAACCAACTCATCCAGTGCAAGAAGTCTTATTTTTGTAAAAGTACAATAAACAAATTAAGCAAAAAAAAAAACTACTTAACATTATTTTATTTATCCGTTATATCGAAGAGACCTTTTGGAAGGATATTGTTTTTTGCCATTTTTGAGGTGTTCAGTTTTATTCTGGTTTTAGAAAATAAACGTGATTGCTCTTCTCAGAAATCCACTCTTTCTTGTTTTCCACTGGCATGTCTCTTTGACTAGTGCATCGTTGAGCCTATACATTTAGTATAAGTAAAATCAGATACTCTAAAACCTTTACTCAAGTTGTTTTGAAATTGGTGACTTTAATTTTCACTGTACGGTACCTGTACTTTTACTCAAGTATGGTTTTCAGGTACTCTTTACACCTCTGTCAAAGAGGAACTGTTTTATGTTAGCAATGGAAACAAATAAGTTATCAAATAGTCAATGAAACAATTCAAAGTTACCTTACCTGTTTAACTGCATCAAGAAGTCTCTCTAACAGGTTTTGTCTTTTCAGGTCATTTTGCTGCGTACCTGTAAGTTACAGTATCCTGAAATATCACTGATATTAACGGCACAATCACAGCTAAAATAAACATTTTTAAAAAATCACAGGGCATTAAATGAATAACAATAATTAACAATTTGGTAAAAGATTGACTGCATAGAGAAGCACCAGCAGTTCTTAATGGTGGTAGGCACTGTCGGTTTGAATATAATGATCCATTCCTTCTTCATAGATACACAATTATATATACATGTGTGTGTGTGTTTGCGCGTGTACTCATATATGTATGCAGTCAATCTTCTGCCATAATTTTAAACTGTTATTTATTTAATGCACTGTGAGTTTTGTCCTGCCCATTTCACATGACCTGTCAAGACAACATAAAGAAATTAGGAAGTTGTTGCAGCTACTGTAGATATGGAGATATGTAGACAGACCGATCAAATTAACTCTTAAAATGTATCAAATTTAAAGTTGAAATTTACTCTTTTATCCCATTTTTAAAACGTCGTCCCATTTTAAAGCTCTGGTCATAAATATGCATTACGTTCTGGGATCTGCATATTCACACCACAGTGACCCAGACTGAATGTTTTGAAACCTCTGGTTGCCTCACGAACAATAAATAGATGACAATTAAATGTGTGGCATGTACAAATAAACAACATAACAGCATGAATCCATCACCTCGCATTTACGACTCACCGTTCATTCTGAAATTCCAGATCAAACGGTTTAGCAAGCGACATGAATCGCGCTTGTGTAGGTCCCCAAAAGTATCAGATTAATCCCCAAAGATGTTTAACAACACTGTTTACATTTTGGGTCGTTCTCCATACTTTCATTTGCAGAGCAGTTAAACCGAGGCCTAGCTTAGACAACACTAGCACTTTTTAAAAGCCGTTTAATTCATCACAACTATGAATACTCATATGTTTTTATTAAGTATCGTAAGGATTTAGCATGAGTGAACTGTTTCTACCGAGTTAAACTGTATCGTTGTGCTAACGAGAGCTCGCTAATACCACTGTACACTGCGCTCGGGCCAGTCACATGACATTGCCCTGGTGTCACGTGACAGCAACATTGTCACGTGAGTCAAAGCTACATGGCCTAATAATTAAAAAACAAAAATAGACATAAAAGTATTTTGAAGTCGAATTTACGTCAGTGGATTCTGAAAGTCTGATTTAAAGGGACAGTTCACACAAACATGAAAACTCCGACATCGTTTATTCACCCTAGTGTCGTTCCAAACCTGTATGACTTTATTTCTTCAGTGAAACACAAAAGGACATGTTAGGCAGAACGTTGAGAACTAACTTCACCTGCAGGGTCATTTTTATATTTTTTTATTCCCCCTCATACAGTGATAGTAAATGGTGACTGAGACTATCATTGTGCCTAACAGATCATTTTGGGGGGATAAAATGTCATACATTGTTTGGAAAAAAATAAAAGGGTAAATGATGGCAGATTAAAAAATGGGTGAACTATCCTTTTAAGCGTTTATTACATAAATGTCATGCATTTATTTATTTATTTAAGTATATTTACAAATCGTAAGACTTCATAATTGATATTGATCATAATTGATCATAACATATTTTAATTTAACAAAGATACAGCATAGATTTGTACTGGTTATGCACTGATTAAAAAGTGTAAGTGAAAAAAAGTAAGCAAAAAAATGTGGTGAAACGTGTTTATAATATTTTTTAAATTCTAATATCGCAGATCATTCTTACATCTGAATAACACTGAGATGTTCACTTCTGACAGTCAGATACTATCCTGTGTTCAAGTTCAAGTCCTGTGTCCATTATTAGTGCATCCATGCAGCAGTCATGACAGTTTTATCCAGTCTGGACACAGTAATGGTGAGACGATGCTTGCTATCACTGTTAACCAGATGATGTGCAGTGTTTTCTGAGTCTGCTGCTGTTATAGAAGTTCCAGTGATCTCTTCCCTAAATGACAGGTGTACAGTGGTACGCTTGCACTGTCTTTGTGGTAACCAGGATTGTGGTGCCTTCCTCAGTGGAGGGAAGAGGCAGGCTGGAGTTGTAGTGATGTTGGTTCAATCCATCTGGAAAATCAGTTGTAGCTTCATCTGTATCTTCAGATTGCTCTGTTACATTTGAGCCTCTCTCGCTGTCAGATGTCTTTTGTTCTTGACCTATCACTGAGTGACATTTCATTGACTTTATAAGAATTTGTTTTTCCACACAATTAATGTCACTACAAAAACACTGACTACTAGAATAAGCATAGTTAGACATAGAAATCATATAAAATGAAATAATATATATTACATGTTGCAATAATGTCATACATAAAATCAAGTACAGTAAACTAAAAATAAATGTATGCCCTATGATTATGATTTCAAGTGCTAACATTTGAACCAATGTGCTATAATTTTTCTTAATGTATCAAAAGTCTTTCACTGGTGTACCTTTGTTAATGATGGGCTTACAGGTTTTTCTGCGTATAACTCGCAGAATAATGGTCAGTGCTGTGAAAGCTCCCAGGAACACAAAAAACACGATCAAAATTAAACGAATATTTTGATTCTTTTCAACTTCGTTTTCTGGGACTGAAAAGGACACAATGAGGCACTGAATAAGAGACTGAAATGATAAGACATTGTGGACTTCATGATACATGATACAGTTCTACTCATAATCGATCATACTTTTTGCAGAATTTTCAAGAGTTTAAATAATTTTATTGGAATAATAGTATTTAAGTAATAATTGCATTTGGTATTTTATTTTGTACTGCCCTATATTGAACAGCTATTTTTATGCATTTATACTATACATATATTTCACAAGACAAATTAATAACTTTTCATAACAGTTTTCTTAAGTTTACATCCTCTTGGTTTTTAATACACAACATGATCATTTGTGTAAATCACGGTAATTTGTCTTGTAGAATATATATTGACAAATATTCTATTATACATTGAATGTTGAATATTGTTATGTAGCTTCTTCAGGGCAGTAAGCATTATAATCATTTTTTTTTATTCTAAGCAACTTACTGATTCTGCAAGGAGTATGTTGACTTACCATAACTGTATCTATTACATTTATACATAAAACGAGTAAATTCATTGTGCTTATACAACTATCATAGTCTTAGTTTTGAAAATGAAAATGAAATTAAATGAAAAAAGTTTTGAATCAGATATAAAAACGATACTTACTTGAGGTGCAAAATGTTTTGCAAATATTTGGTGGGGAGTTGCATCTAATGGAGCAATGTTGACACTCCTCAAGAAGTCCATCATAATAATAATTCTTTGCACATTTTCCCTCAGCATAAATAATAATGTAAAGCAGCAATATAAAGAAAAGCATCTTCCACTGAGGTGCTAGGCGTCACTGAACTTACACAGCAGCCAACATTTTATTATTCCCAATATGTAAATATGTCTTAAGGAGGGGATGTCCCTTTTATCTTTAGCACTGGCATCAGTTTAAATTTTAGTCACATTTTCTCATGACAAAAACTCTTCTTCAACCAAATTTCCATTTTTAACTGTTAATGTAGCTATACACTATAAAAACAATTATAAAATCCTGTCGTTTTTACTGGCAGCTTCAGGAATGTAATCATATTTACAAAACAACCCATAAATATTACAGTTTAAAAATCTGTTTTGTATCTTTAACATACTGACAGCCACCATAATAAGAATCAAGGTTCATCACAAGTAGCTTTGCACAAGCTGAGGTAAATAAATACTAATATGTAGAATTTCTACAAATACAAAACACCATCATGGTAACAAACATGACACTAAAATAATGCAATAAACATGAATTAAACAACATACATTTTCAAATAAAACCCTAATATAAATAACTGAGAATAAAAACTACTAAGGACAATTATTCAAATAAAATACCATCAAATGTGAAGTGTCACCAAGGGAAATCTGGGAATGTCAGTTTACACTTTTTCACTGTAAATTATAAAATGACTTGTTCTTTTTTTACTTACAAAAATGGTACATTTAACAATATTTTTGCATAAACTTACATTAAATGTATATTACTGTTTTCCCCCATATATAGGGAACTTACTGTTAACCAATTAACACGTTTTCACCATAGCATTTTTTAAGTTTTACAGTTAATATTACAATAATTTTTACAGCATAACAATTGTTTCATCTTTCAGAGACCTTTCAAGTAAAACAATACCAGACTAATAAATATGTTCTAAAATTATTTTAATTGCAAAGGTTTGTATACAAAACTGATACTGTTATAAACACACGAGTAAGCACTGCTTATTAGATATAGTGGGACAACATTAGTTTATTACATAATAATGTTATTAGTTTATTACATAATAATGTTATCATATTATATTAAATAATACAAACATATTTTAGTTTAATTGGATTAAAAGAACAATATTTTTATAACAATATTTATATATTAACAATTATACAAAAAAGTAGCCGAAAACACTGATGATCTTAAAGATCTATAAAGCACTTCTAAAGGCAAGTCATTTCTAGGCCGCATGGATGCAGATGTGAAGAGGAGGGTCTCCCCGCAGAGCACTGTGGGAATAGAGATGCAAATCAGAGCCTGACACTGAATGTCGAGCAAAGTTTGCTGTGTGTGGTACAAAAGATAAGTCTTATTTGATTCTCCCTCCTGTCCAATAGGAGTCCTCCTAAAGACCAGAATGCTATAAATGATTAACAAGCCCACAGGTTGCACGATCATTAAAATAAAAAAAGATCATGCTTATAGATAATAACATGAAAGATAACTGGTTTCCGAACTCTGTGTTCATTTAAATCAGTTTTATAGTGTATTATTTGAGTTACCAGCATATTATATCACCAAAGGATCTTGGTTCAGGGGGTTGGTCGTCCCAGGTGGTTGTGTATTCGTATAGGAGCTCATGGCAATGGTAACCGGTTGATCTGCTCTGGCCGTGCGGTTTGCCAGAGAGCCTTCAGCCTGAGTGTTAATTCTTCCGTTTCTCCTGAAAGAATTCCTCAGCCCGTTGGAGAGACTGCTGGAGACCTTACGCATAACACCTGAAATTCCTTTAGAGTGTTTGTATTGAGCAATGTCGTCCTCCAGCTCTTCAGGAGGAACTTCAATATTACCAGTGTACCAAAACACCCACCAGATGAGACTCAGAAAAATGATCACAGCTCCGGCGTAAATTAAAAAGTCATGGAAAAAGATGTCCCAAAACACACCAACCAGGAGGACAAAAAGTCCAAAAATGTCGTGAAAAACAGCAAACCAAAATGCACATTTACAACGACCAACTCCTGGATGCTTTTTCTCCATATCCACAATAATATATCAGAATCCTTTTTTGATTGAATCGTATCAGACTGCAGCCTTGTCCTTCCAGAAGACTACAGTGCTAAAAGTACACTCTGCGAGAAACATGACGTACACCTGTACAGATGATGTTCAAAGTACACTGAAGTGAATAAACTTTGATGTTGAGCAGTAAAGTAATGCTTTTATCAGAAAACTTTATCAGGATCACAATCATGAGGATAAATGACCATCAAAACACACTACACGTGAGTCAAAATGACAACACCCATTCGCCAATATAAAAATGAATGCTTGTAATATTTACAAAATTTACATAACTGTTTTCCATGTGACATTGTTGGCTACTATTTATCCCATTTTAAATCATCTGCCTTTTGTGTTTCACATTTTCTTTTTATGATCAACATCCAGACCACACCGAGCACAGCAAACATCAGAATGTATGTGAATGATAGATACTTTTAAGAAGTTTTAAAAAATTAAAAAAGTATCCACTGATTCAGCATTACACAAGGAATTCATAGACACATAGAGATCATGATTTTTCAGACAAAACTGTTCAAAAGTTAAGCAAAAAAGAAGCCATTTTTCAGATCTCATGACCTGTAGGTGGCGCTTTTCCTGAATTCGACACAAAACCTCAGATCATGTCCAGACCACACCGAGCACAGCAAACATCAGCCCAACTGAAAAACACAATGGGCCCATTTCATCATTCACAGACATTGTATCTGTAGAATGACTATTAAATAATCCACTAGAATTGAGGATTATCACTAAACCAGCAGCTAATGCTAGCCCGCCAGCGATCAGGATGAAGATGGGTTTGTGGTAGTAAGTCCAGCAGCTGGGATCTCTGGGTGCAGGGTCCCGAACTGAAGGCGAAACTGTCTGCTGAGTCACATCTTCACTTAAATCACACTGATCCACAGAGTGCATCCTGACAAATCTGAACTAGCACAAAAAATACAGATAAGTGAATGTCAACTCGTTTAGTCTGGTCTGCAGTTAAATTCTAAATCTTTCCGAATGGGATAGTTCACCCAAAAATGAAAATTCTGTCATGTATTTAGCCTCACGTTGTTCCAAAACAACATGTTTTTAGTTAACTATGCCTTTAACAGTATCATTATCTAACCACTGTTCTTGAGACTAATTGGTAGCATCAGAAATTAGTTTTTATACATGCCTTCTGTTTGGTCTCTGAGAATACTCTGTTGATTTTGATTGGATCAGCCTAGGATATACATCCAGGAAACTTAATACTGTCAGAAAGAGAGAATGATCAAGCTTTTCTCAAAAGACTAGTCTAAATGGAGACCAAAATAGGAGGTCTTACGAAAGATATTGGAAAAAAAAAGATTCAAATAAAAAAAAAATTAAACAACAAAAAATGACCATTATCAATCCAAATGGAAAACCTCAAACCAAACCCATGTAAAATACACCACTGTAAGCAGGAACAACATCACAAACAGAAGAGCAGCTGGTCAAACACATCGTCTAGCTCATCAAATACATGTAATATAATATAGCTGCAATAAGCAATAAGCATTGGAATAAGCGCAATGCAGAGCCGGTAGAAGACAAAGAGGAGAATCAGAATGTATGTGAATGATAGATACTTTTAAGAAGTTTAAAAAAATATCCACTGATTCAGCATTACACAAGGAATTCATAGACACATAGAGATCATGATTTTTCAGACAAAACTGTTCAAAAGTTAAGCAAAAAAGAAGCCATTTTTCAGATCTCATGACCTGTAGGTGGCGCTTTTCCTGAATTCGACACAAAACCTCAGATCATGCAGTTGATAAGACTCCCAAGTTTCATTTCACTAAATCAAAATATTCTGATCCAAATTTTGGTCAGCATCATCTTATTATATCTTAACAAATACGAACATCAGAATTCTGTTCAGTCATTTCTGTGCGGCTCAGTCCAGCGATCATCTGATCCAACTTGGTAAGAATTGCACAAAATTTTGGAAATGCAGAATGCTTAACACTTTTCAAAGTGGTGACCGCTGTAGTGGGCAGTCTTCATGCAACCTACGGCATGTGATCACCATAAGGAGAGTAGTCTCAGCCTCAGACGTCATGCCCACAGCACACTGGTTTCTGCCATCAGTCTCAAGCTTTTTAACAAATACGAACATCAGAATTCTGTTCAGTCATTTCTGTGCGGCTCAGTCCAGCAATCATCTGATCCAACTTGGTAAGAATTGCACAAAATTTTGGAAATGCAGAATGCTTAACACTTTTCAAAGTGGTGACCGCTGTAGTGGGCAGTCTTCATGCAACCTACGGCATGTGATCACCATAAGGAGAGTAGTCTCAGCCTCAGACGTCATGCCCACAGCACACTGGTTTCTGCCATCAGTCTCAAGGTCTGGCTGTGTGAGACTATGAGTAGAGTAATCTGGTGAACTATTTTATTATTATTATTGAACTGGTGATGGCGCTATGGAACTGGTTCTATAGACCCCAAAGTTGGTCAGATTACTATTCAGGACCACCACTATAAGTGTGCCAATTTTCATTATTTTCCTACTTACAGTTCATAAGGCTGCCCATAGACTCCCATTGGGGAAGAAGAAAACCAACAACTACAAAAGCGCTACTGCACCTTCAGTGGTTGGCTCTATTACACATACCTTCTGTTAATAGAACATACTATCAATTAAAGCTGACAAAACCAAAGACTGGCTTCATTTATATAAATTCACAAACAAAAAAAGTGTCTGGTTGCATTAAATTCTTAGACAAGTCAGATTTAGAATTCTTTTAATTGACTGTTCACATGGATCAGAACAAATGCTAACATTAACCTCATAAGCAATGTGTAATACAAATTCTTGCTTCATATATATCTCAACATCAACTGTTAACAGAATGAGAAAGAATTAATTGCATTTACAATTTTATTTTATTTGTTTTTAGCTTTTCTCTTCAGATCACGTGCTGTGACCTTTGGTATTTTCTTGGTCAGTTTTGTGCCTTTTAGTGTTTTCTTTAGTCCTTTGCCAGCAGCAGGCTTGGGTACTTTTTTCAGTCCTTTTTTAGATATGATCTGCCAAAACATAATAAAGATTTTATTTAAACACAGAACACCATTATGACATTACCACACCAATGCAGTGTAAATATTGGTTTTATTAACTGTCCCTTGTGAGACGGACAGACACTGACCTCCAGTTTTGGCTTTTTGGTTGGTGTCTCGATTGGCACCAGCTGTGGTATTTCCTCCTCTTCATTGTCTTTTTCTTCCTCGGTTTCTTTTGTTATCACCTCTGACACTTCTGTTTTATCGTTTTCTCTCTTCCTCTTTTGTGCTCCCTAAAAATTAAAGGGTAAAACTAATGACTTCTCATTTTACAAAAAACTATTTTTGGCCACATAGGTTTTGCATTTGTTAAGCAACTTCACCTTTGTTAAATGGGCTTTCTTACGGGCCTCCTCCACCAATGCGAGATGACTCAGGTCAGAGGTGTAGATGGGCAGCGCAACTGAGGTCTGACTCTTCAAATGGATGATTTTTATGTTTTTTCCTGTCTGAGAGGGAAACATAGATTAGAGGTTGTAGGTCAAAACTTGAGGAACAGAAACAGAAATCATCCTGTTAAAAACACATGAATAGGCAAAGAAAATAATGAATACCAAATGATACTGCACAAAAGAGGGCTGGTTACAAAAGACTCTTACTCACCTTTGCCAACTTTGCTGAGATGGTGGAAACCGCTGTCATCACATTCTCAACCACCTCATCTGCTGTCATGCCTGAATGTGCTACACGTACCATGCTGTAGTGATAAACCACACAATTTAACATGTCAAACATTTAAATATATATATATACTCATGTATCACAGTTTGTAGGGACAAGTTCCAACAGATGAGGAGACCTGTCTGGATACACTATGAGTTACTATCGCACTGTTTTAACCCACTTCCAGCTGTGATGGAGCAGGAAATGGTTTGCTGTAGTGCTTCTACCTACTGTACAACAAAAAAAATAATGTTCATACCAACAAGAGCCTTTATTTGAGACAGTGAGTGTGGTGCCCTGAATGAGGCGCTTCATGTCTCTGGCTAGATGTTTACTCTCCAGATCCACTGACAGAGGAGCCCTGAGACAGAGAAAGAATTTAAATCAATGTCATTAACAATGACTGACAACCCCGATAGATACTGAAAATCTGCACGAATAAACACTTTCAAAGCACCTTTTCTACAAGTCTAAAGATGTGATCACATTGCCGAAATTTCACAGGCATAAAAAATAGACCATTGTCTATTGTCAATAGTGTAGCGATGTATGAAGCGAAGTTCACACAGAAGTCACTTTCAAACCCAGTAGCTGTGGTCAACATGGCTAATCCGTGTGGCCAACTTGAACCTGCTGCAAAATCTGTGTGGGGAATCTGCATCTTTCGCCCTCACGTGAAATTACAGATCTTAAGGGGTTCCTTCGCAGATTTTAAACACTGAAGAACAGTAAATGTGACCACACTTTTATCACTCGTTTGTTTTCCTTTTAGAAATAAAGTGGTGGGCTTAACATGGACAGTTTTTATATGTATGAACTTTAGATTTATATTATACAGTGGGGAAAAAAAGTATTTAGTCAGCCACCAATTGTGCAAGTTCTCCCACTTAAAAAGATGAGAGAGGCCTGTAATTTTCATCATAGGTATAGCTCAACTATGAGGGACAAAATGAGAAAAAAAATTCCAGAAAATCACATTGTAGGATTTTTAAAGAATTTATTTGCAAATTATGGTGGAAAATAAGTATTTGGTCAATAACAAAATTTCATCTCAATACTTTGTTATATACCCTTTGTTTGTCCTACTTTTCAAAGCTCCAGGTGAGTGCAATTATTATTTTTAAATCTTGATGCTTTTTCATAACTGCATAATGTTCATTATTGTTCATTTAAAGGGATAGTTCACCCAAAAATGAAAATTACCCCATGAAGTACTCACCCTCAATGCATCCTAGGAGTATATGACTTTCTTCTTTCAGACGAATGCAATTGGAGTTATATAAAAAAAAAAATGTAGGCATAGTGTAAACGCTGGTGAAAATATGCTAGTGAACACGCATACAACAGTTAACGGAAGCTTAAGATTACGGTTTATAAAAGTTTTAAATATGGGTA